TTAAAATTCCAGCTGACTTCATTAATATAGTAATAAACCTGTTTCAATATAAGAAGTTTGAAATTATTCATGAAAACAACTTAACAAATCCATTAATAGTACAAGATAAAATTGATCAAGAGAAAACTATCTCTCTCCTAATATAAAGAATATTCTATAATCTGCTCCTATGCAAGATTCAAAACAATAAAGAATGGGAATAAAGATAATAGTTTCCTGAAATTTAGATCTAATAGAAAATAATACAAAAAAACTAGAGTTTCGATATACAACTATTGCTTTATAAATGATATTATATGGATTGCTAGATTCAAAAAGACATTGAAAAATTCTATAAGAAGCAAGAATTTTCTATAAGACAAATGACTTCCAAATCAATAATAACAAATTAATACTAATAATCTCAATTAATATCTGGTAGAAGTTCAAACAAGTATTAATAAAGAAATAGTCAAAGAACTAGATAGAACTAAACAAGCAAGATTTTTAGAAATCTGGACAAATAATCAAAGACTATAATTGAACTTGAAAAAATAATATTAAGAAAAATTAATGTAATTATCAAAGTTCTAAAAAATAAAAAGATAACAAAAAAACAAATATTATATATATTGAACAGAGTTCTAATATCAAGAATTAAGTTCTAAATGCAATATAATATATTGCTTTGAAAAATATATAATATTATAATAACAGTATATAGAAAGCTCTTCAAAAATAAAACTGTTCTCAATAGATTAATATTAAATAGTATTATATATTATCCAAAAATCCACAATTTGAAAAACATCTGAATATTACAAAGAGAAAGTCAGATAATACAATAATTATTAGACTCAAATAAGCACAAATCAGATACAGGAAGCCTAATAATTTACTTATCTATGATTCCTTATATCATTTATTAGACAAAGGCAACTTTATACTTTTAGTATTGAAGTTAGTTAGAAATATAGATATAACTTTTCAAAGTTGAAAATGGTATGATATATTTGAATGAAGTGAGAAAAATAGTTTAATTAGTAAATACCATGCATCAAATGAATACAAAAAAGTTATATCTTCGCTAAGAAACAATAGTTTAATATATATAAATCAACTAATTGATAAGATACTAAAGAAATATGAAATTGAAGAATACTACAGCTCATGCAGAATACGAGTAAGAGATCAATTCCAGAATGGTATCTATTAATAATCAAGACTATACAAGAAGAGTGAATAAAATAGCTTATCAAATCTTGGAAGGTGGATTGGACAAAATGGAAATTTAAATATTACATAGTAAAACATAATCATAATAAATAACAGAAACTATGAATTGTTATAAAAAACAAAAAAGATCAAGTTATTTGGAAAAAGCTAATGAGAAAAAATATAATATATAATATAGAAATAGAATATTTCAACTGTTTAGTAATTGAAAAACACCAACAAGCAACAAGTCTAATAAAATGTCTTGAGTACCTAGAAGGTATTAAAAAAATAACTATTGTATAATAACAGAAAAAAGGGATAGATTATATATAGTCCCATATCTCAACACTAGAAAATCGATCAGAAAAGCTCAAATATTAAAAATTTCAAGGAGCAAGACAACTATGGAAAAAGAAATATTTAAGGTAATAATAGAGAATCAAGAATTAATTCAAGTGATCAAAATAATAAATATAGAGATAGAAAGTTGAAAAGAAAAAATTATTGAAGATAATGTAAAAAAAAATACATACCAGTTCTATTTGTTGAAAATATTTCAATAAAATCAGAAGTCAAATAAACCAATAATCTTTTATTCTTATAGATCACTGACTAATCATAAAAGGAAGAAATGAAAATGGAAGCAATATGGATTCAAATAAGAGAAATAGGAAGAGAAAGCAAATTTTATAGGGATAAAAAATTGATCATTATCAATAAAAACAAAAGTGATAGCAATAATTTCTATATTGCTAATTATCCCTATTAAAAGCAGAGTCAAGATCTATATAGACAGTCAAATCTATAGTTTCAAATAGAAGGAACTAAAGAAAAAAGATTTCAGAAAGACATATAAAAGATGATTGAAAGAGAAAAACTAGTTTTTATAGATGCAAATACTAGATCTTATAGAGAAAAAATACTTGAACCTGAAATTGATCAAGGTTAAGGCCCACTCTAATAATAAATATAATAAAAAAGTAGATATCATAACCAAAAAAGCACTCCAACTTCCTATAATAAAATAGAAGAATCTCATATTATCCAAAATCATTAAAGAAATTAAATGGCAAAATATAATATTGGATACTTCAATAAGACAATTTATCAAAAAAGTAAATGGTAAAACAATAGTCTATCAATGGATGCAAAAGAATAAAACTCAAGAAAAATGGAATCAGCAAATATAAGATCAGCATAAATATACATAGAATCTTATGTGGGATAGAATGAATAATAGACATTCATGAAATATTTCTTTTAAAAACTCTTATAAAAAAAGCTTTTTCGTGAAATTAACAAATAATAAGTTATTGACTCTAAAAAAATTGGCAATAAAAAAATTAGATTTTTACAAATAAGTGATATATATAGAATGTAACAAAGATGTAAAAACAATGAACTATTTACTAGAATATCTGGTATATGAAAAAAAATTGCAAGAAGTATAGATAAAAGGATTAGAAGAGATACTAAAGGAATTTAAGAAACTTTTGCAAGAAAGAAAAGAGAAATAAAAGAAAAAGACATATCTCTAATTACAAATGATAGAGAAAAGAGGAGAAAACTAGATAAGCTAATTTTTAAACTTATAGAAGAAGTCTCCAAAAGTAATTATAGGATGCTAAACTTTTGTATAGAATTTATAAAAAATAACTGGCTTATTGCAATAGTTGACTTCAAATATTATAGTAATAAAATAGAACAAAAAACTTGGGGATAAATTACAAAAATATATAAGAAGGATTGTAATTATATATGAAAGAGATCTGAAACAAAAGATGTATAAGAACAATTAAATGAAAATGGTTACAGGAAATTAATAGAAAGAATAAAGTAAGAAAACTAAGCTTAAAAGTTCAAAAGATCAAGTTTAAGGTCAATAAATTATCAATTCCTGAAGAAAAAAGATTGAATGACAAGAATTTGAAACAGATATTAACAAAAGAAATTGAATATAAAATGAACTGATTGAGTTTTAATTTCTGTCAAAGCTTTGCAAAATAATCTGAAGTGGTAACTTGCAGGCAATGATACTAATAGTTGAAAGGGTATTTACTTGAATCATTAGTGGAATGATAAACCACTTCTGAAATTACACTTAAAGTGATAATAGTTAAGACAAATGAGTTAGTTAGAGATTTAGCTTTAGTGTCACATTGATATGTAAAGTCTATAAAATTTTTAATAAAGTACATATAACTAGTTTAACAAAGGGAAAAAATTTTTTTTTGAAATAACTTAAAAATTATATTTTAACTTTTTTAATTTATTTATAAACAATAATTAAATTTTAAATAATAAAAATTATATAGTTTATTTTTTTTTTGTAGATTTAATTGAATTTTGTAAAATTAATTCAAAAATTTTTTTTAATTTTTATATATAATTTACTTTTGAAAATAAAAACATTTGATTTTTAGTTCAAAGTATAATAAATTAATAAGTTTTAAAAATCAAAAACTCCAGTTTATAATTAGATACACTTTAATTTTATAAAAAAAAATTTATTTTTAATTATATACAATAAATAATATTTAATCTTTTTTTTTTTAAAAAAAAAAGTAATAACTTATTTTTTATTTTGGAATTGAATAAATATAAAAATTTTTTAAAATTAAACATGGATTTTTAAACAATTTATATATAATAAAGTTTGTAAAATAAAAATATTAAATCATTAAAAATTTAAAAAGTAAAAAAACTCTTTCCATTGATCCTTTGATCACATATAAAAAAGATTTTCGCAAGAAGTTTTTATACTTCTTTGCTAATAAAGTTTTAATACTTTCATTAAAACAACTTGAAGTATGATTTCAAGAGTCACCTCTACCCTTTCCCTTTTGTTTATAAACCTTTTCACTCAAAAACTTGACTTCTAGTGACCAAGAAAAGTCAAGTAACACCTTTGATACTAACAACAAGAAAGTTCACAAAGGAAGAAGAACTGACTGTAAAGTACCTGAAGACCTTTTTAATCTTTGAAGCGAGAGGTATATAGAGATTTTTGATGACAAAAGGACTTATTTTTTTTCCTTCCAGTCACTGTTGGACCTCTTAGAGTTATCACTTTCATGATTTTCTGGGGAATTTTGTCTACCTCAATTAAACCTTGAAAAACATAACTTCTTTAGATGACTAGACCTGGCAATTTGATTTAGGGTTGACTGCATCATCAATAAACTCTATTTTCGCGTATCGCACATTTTATCGAATTGAAATTTAATATACTGCGAGTACCATACCTCCTATAAAGTAAATGTTTAGTAAAACTTGATAGAAGTATTAGAACAATTATAAACTATATTATCTTTATTGCCGGAAATAATCAATCCTGAAGGCTCAGTTATAAATTGGCAAAAAGAATCTTTCCAAGATTCATTCGATTTTTGTTTTTAGAAAGCATGTGTTCATCCGAAACACCTTTGGCATAACGGTTACGGTGTAACACAGTGTAGATTTCGATAATTTAATTTAATGATTAGCAAATCTGATTCATTCGAACATACACTATATACAGTATATTTCCTTGGTTAATTTTTTTTTAGCAGTTTTCTCCAAGTTTGATTTTTTCTTACTTTTAGCCGTCGCAAACGAATTTCATTGATTTGATCTTTGCTGGAAATATGCTATGATGAGAAATAAGTTCTTTATTTGATAGGGACAATAACGGTTTTATTCTTTTTGTTCGTGCATTATTAGGTTGACTTTTTTTAAATAAGACAAATGCCGACCTGAATTAAATTGTGGGTGAACGTCGAGGAACTTTTGAAAAAAAAATTTTCCAGGAAAAATGTACTCGTTCACATGTCCCCTAATAAATTATCGACTGTGTTATCCTGATCGCTGGCTTCTTGAGAATTGTCCTCAAGCGCATTACTAAATGAGAGAATAAAAGATTCCTACAATCTCTTCAATTATAACAACTACGACAGTGAACATATGGTGAAGATACCTACGCGTTTGGATTGTTGGCGGTAACTAGAATGTCATTGAGTGAATTTATTGCATCATTACTGGTGGCGGTGGTAGCAACCTTTTTCCGGCCCATCCTGAATGTGTGAAGGATAAGGAATGACACATGGTGACATTAGCAATCAATTCAATTTGTCAATTTCATGAGGCGGTAGCCATGGCAATTCATAAAGCACCTTCTGGACTTCATTATTTGACCACGAAAGGTTTTGGTTAACACTGATTCCGCATTCTGCTGTTTGTTGGCAACTTCCATGCTCTTATTATTCTTAGCCGCGTCATCATCATCCAATTTCAACTTCTTAAAGTCCCTGGTAGAAGACCTGGTGGTGGGCTTTTGATTGACCCGATGTCCATGGGGTACATTTGTTGATCTACGACTTGTTGACGAATTGATCATCATTTCATCATTCTCCTCCGTTAGTTCCTCTTCCTCTGATAACGTTTGTGATTGCTCCGGTTGGCTTGAAATGATCGCGCCTAGACGAAATATCATTAGCGCGGAACCCGAAGCAAACATGCGAATGTAAAATATCAATTTACCAGTCGCATTAAGTGCCCTCATCAGATTTTTGATTTTCTTTTTCTTTGCATTGAGGACTTTCTTAAACTATTGAATATATTATGAGCATTGAATTATTGACCTCGTCTTATTGATTTGCTATCGTTTAATGAGAACTCACCTTTTCCATTAATATTGATTCATGATTAATTTTTTCTGCAATCATGAGTTCAATCCTTTCCTGCATCTGATCGCGTACATTTTCTAAATCCGAGACACGCGTTTCCAACGCTGAACCGGCAACCTTTACATGACATAAGCATGTAGTTTATCAGTAACACTACTTGTGAGATATATACGATGCAACGTGATGAGATACTTGCTATGAGTCGCCGTCGTTCCTGAATAAAAAAATCCACCCATTCCTGCCACAATTTAGGAATTTCCGGCTGCGGAACGGGCATCAACGAGACGCTTCCGAGTGTGAACTTTAAGGTCTACTCTTTAATCAGTTCGAAATGAAGCCGGTAAATTCCTAAAATTATTATTGTTCTGAAAGTTTGAATGATGTCATTAATACAAAACCAGCGTCGTTGTCGTCGTATTTTCCATTGACCACCGCCATAGAATCTATTAACGATTGAGTAGATTAGATACCGAGACAACGATCGGACTTTACAAGATTCGTTCTTACCCGGACGTAATTTTCCGCGGTTGTAATTCTACACGTTAACTTGTGGTTTTCGTACTCATCATGTCCCGACAGTGCCGCTTGCGTTGCTCCACAATATTTCGAGATGTCATGAATATTAGCCGGCTTAATGCGTTTCAGGTCTGCGACTGTCACTTTTTGTTATTTAAAGAACAACGGATGCCGAGGATTGCCGAATGAATTTGAGTAATACGCATGAAAGAACGAAACTTTGGCGGTTAAGGATAATTCCAAGGGAAACAGTCGGTTTACCACTTCGCGTCCAAAACATCTTGCAATCAGTCACTTCCAATTCAAAAATAACCTTATCATCTGGTAACGACAAGTCCTTCAGTGGATCAATTCTCCACAGACTTTTAACGTAAAAGATTTTATCCTGGTTGTCTTCTTTGAAAGCCACTCGAAAGTGGAAAATCGATCTTTCAAGTTTATTGGTCATGTTGATTTGATATTTTCAAGAGCATGTGGAACACGGAATTTTCAATTCGCGAGCTACTTTCGGCAATTCTCGTGGGAATGAGAAAGAATTGAGATCCAAATCCGGGTTTGTATGGATATTTTATTTTGATCGACCAGTGTAACATGACATGAAATGCGCATCTTTATTAGGCAAGGTTCGTTTGGAGCATGCTACGGCACACAGTATTAAAAAAAAGCACATCATTTTGGAGTCAGGTTTTGAAGCTCCTTTCGAAAGAATCACCCTAAAAGCGAGAAAATCTTTTTTGGTTCTTTTTTTTTTTTTTCTTATCGCAAGGTTATGTTTCATTGAGCAGAACTTGCAATCTACTGTATGCTAAGGACTTTTAAGAAAAAGTTCCTCTAATTAAGTCGTTAAATGTAACATTGTAAGAATCACATGCGTTGGTTTGGAAATCTTCGGGGTTCCTTATTTCAACCGAGAAAATAGTAATTGATTAATTCGGAGGTTCATTTACGCATTTCGTAGATATGATTGACCGTGTTTACAACACACTAATAGCTTCACGTCTTACCTGCCACGTTTAAAAATTGGGATAACCTTTTATTTGTTTTTTACTTTTTTGGTTTGTTTTTTTTTTTCTATAATTCTTAGTCTAGTAATAGTCATTACTTAGTAAACAAATTTTCGTGTAACTTGTATTTATTTCTCTTGTTCATAAAGAATACATATTTTATTATTCTTTTTTTTCTAAAAACTCATATAAACGAAATGCAAACCTTTTTGAAAGCTTTTGGCTTCTTATTTTTTTACTTGCTTATACATTCTTATA